GTGTCTCGGGCCGCCGTCTTCGGCGGTCAGGCAGTCCCTAGGTGTTGATGGCGAGTAGCAGCTGTGTGCGCTGGCGGCTGGAGTGAGGGTGTGTAGTGCACAGCTGGAGGTACCCCCGAGCCTTGCGGTGGAAGGGGGTTAGGGCTGTGCATGCGCTGTAACAGACGGCGTGCTGGCGGGGCCGCCCTCGCTGGCGGGGTGTGAAGGAAAGGCGATGGGAAAGCCAGTTCTTGGAGGAAACCAGCAGACCAGTTGTTAGTTAGTTAGTCCTGCTGCTAACGCTTGTTTCGGTTTTTTTTTTTTTTTTTGCAGAAAAAAAACTTTCACTTTTTTCCCCCTGCTTTTTATTTAGTTAATTTCAGTGGTGCTATCGGTTCCTTCTGTTGGAAGCCAACTACTGTGGGACTTCGGTTGCCCGGAGAAAATGAAGCACTAGTGAGTTACTAAGAGAAGAGGAAATCGGTTATCTAATGCCGCAAGACAGCCTGATGCGCGTACTGTTCTCCTTTAAGATTACCAGCTCTCCAAGAACGCTGTCGTACTGATTTGCATCTTGTTTTATATTTAAGATTGTAAGTTCTTTTTGTCCGCTGTCTATACAGAATTTACCTCTTAATCCACGAGTGAGATTCCTAAATTATGCATTAATAAAAATAAGAGTATTGTCAGTCTTTCTACTGGGGCTACAGTGCTTGTGCTCTGGCAATGCGCAATTGCAATCCCAAAGCAGTGTTGCCGCTGCTAGCGCAACCACGTTTTTGGCCGTAATTAATATTTTTTTATTACTCAGTTACAGCTTTTCCTGCGTTATTACAATGTTTGTTCAATTGAGCTAGGCGAAAGAGGTGGTTAAGAGCAAAAGCAGTGAGCGCCGAGGGGTGGAAGCTTTGGCCTTTATGAAGGGCGTTGATGCTACTGCGCCCATGCACTCCCAAAGGATTGGTATAGAAACAGTTACTCTCTGTTGTGGAAGAGGAGTGAACTTGCGGCTCATATAGGTCTGGTGAGTGTATGTGTGGCCATGAGAAAAGTTGGAAAGAATGCACTTCTACCATTCTGGAGGAGAAAGGTCTCTGGAGGAGCAGTTCGGTTTATATGTGTCTCTAAGAAACAGCTGGCTTACTTGACACAACTGGCAGGACTCTGAATTGCTGGGCTACTTGTGAAGCCAGAAGAGGTAAAAATATTAAATCTTTTAACAACTCCAGTGTTAAAAGTATATGGGCGGGAGGGGGGCTAGACACATATATTGAGGTAAAAGCCAGTATTGTAGGTTCTCTCCCCCCAAAAAAAAAAAAAAAAGTTTGTCTGTTTAGAATGCCGGAGCCGCCTTCCTGCCGGAGCGTTTCTCAGCGTTTCTCACGTCGGGAGTTATGAGTTAACTCATAGAGTTTTAGCTGGGGGAAGGCAGAGGATTGATACTACCTAAAATGGCTCCAGAAGATTTAGTGGGAAAATTTTGGAAAGTTAAGGCTAGTACAGGATTTTATCAGTATGTGCTTAACGTGGTTTTTTTTTTTTTTTCAACTTTTCCATGTTTGATTGTCTTGTTTGTTTGCTCGAAAACAAACTTGTTTATAAAACTCGAAATCCTCTTGTATTTCCAGTTCCCGCAAGGGTGCGTGTGCTTGAAATGTGCTGTTGTTCAGCTACCTTGATAAGGAATAAATCAGAATCCTTTCTATTAAAGAATAAATAACTTTTGACAGTGCTATGAGAATGTTACAATATGCGTGGCCGCTCCAAAAGCACGTGACCAAGAAAAGGTTATTAAACAGAGATTGGTCCCAGTATCTCTGTGATAAGTAAATGCTTTTGATCAAGGTGCAGGTGGAGTGCAAAGTACTGCATGATACAATACCTGGTGCATGTGGTTTGATCACTGACCAATAAAAAAAATTTTGCCTTTTGATGTCTCTTTTTTTTTTTTTTTTTTTTCCAGTGGGGAAAACAAGTTTCCTGATGCCCCTGCCACTATCTCAGCTGTTTGGTGCTTGACCTACCTGTATGTGTTCTTGGGACAAGCATTTTAGTGCCTTGCCTTGCTGTCAGAAAACCTGGCTGAGCTTCTGCCATCAAATTGAGTCTGTGGTTGTTCTATATGAAATAAGCCCTGAAAAGTGGAGCAGCAGTAACTCGCATTACTACAGTGATCTTAATTCTTGTTGAATGCTGTTCTTTTAAATAATTTTGTATTGGTATTTCACCAAACAGCCACATACAGAATATGATTTCTTGGTAATGCCAGTTCGGTCTGTAGTGAACAGAAGACTGTTTCTTCGGTACCTTGCAGTGGGACTCTCAATATCAGCGTATATTTACCTCATATTTATAAGGCCCCAAATTTTGAAAAGCGTATTTGCCAGAGCCTACAATCTGCAAGATTTTCTGTAGAAGTGCAGAGGGTGGAATGGTATTAATCTTTTGGTATGAAGAAAGAAATTGGCAAGTGTGCAGGGAGCTAGTTTTTAGCTTTGAATGAAATTAACTGAAAACTTGTATTTTTCAGAACTCCTCTTTTGACAACCATGGTTATACAGACCTAGAATGGGACAGATGTGAATCATATTTTCCTGATGCCCCCTCCCAGCTGTCACTGGCGGAAGGACTTTCTGACTTAGAGTAGAGGTTCTTTTTGCTCAAAAATGAAAATCAGGCAAGGACTAGTGGGATTTTGCTTAGCCATTTTCTAATCCACAGGAATTTTGGCATCCAGAACTTTCTATGGCAGCGGTTTCTACACTTCAGCCATGGTATTTATTTCGTTTGGTGTCATCCTAGTTTCAGCATTGGGGGACCTAGTGAATGGTCTTTCCCCTGTTCACCTTCTATTCTACCCTCCTGTACTGTCTCTCTTCTAAATTTCAGAGTCATTAAGAGCATAATTAATCGCTATAAGGAAGCTGTTCTGTAACTTACAGCAACAAACCTTTTTCTCAAGGCTGTTGCGGGAATTACGCAATTGCCACCCAGAATTGCTGGAGGAATTACTCAGTTGTCACCTCCAACTGTTTTGGCTCAACCCTAGGTCTCTACTTATTTTCCCAGTTCAGCAGTGAATATTTTTCTAAACAAAAAAAGTGGTTTATTATGCACAATACAGGTACAGCTTCAGCTGGGTGCCACCAAGGAGGGACTCCACCCACAGGCTCCTGGTTTGATTAATCTGGTTACAACCCGATCGCAAGCACCCTCTGCCATAGTCTGATTCCTATTAACCCATCTCGCGACTTCTCTTACTCGCTTTCTTGTGGTCCGCTGGCACTCTCTGTTGCTGCGAGGGGTTTCTTTAGGTCACCTCTGTGACTGTTACCTGCAACTGTTAAAATGTTCCTTGTTCTGTAAAAACAGGCTCCAGCTGGCCTTGGCTGCAGCCTAAGGCTTCAGCTGCTTTAGTGACTAGTACTCTTGCTCTTTTCTTCTTACAACACGCTACAGTGGGAAAACCCAAAGCTAAGATCTGTGCTAAACGGGAAAATTTCCAGCGAACTGGCTCCGCTGCTGTATTGTACTACAGCACTACAGAGTGCAGTTAGAACAGGTGAGCCAGATGCAGGCCACAAAGGCAGTGCAGAGGTACCGTTGGATCCGTGTTGTTCCCCGAGCATCACTGCCAAACTGCACAAGCTCTCTGTTAATAACGTGTCAGGTTGCTTACTGAAGGAAAGTTAGCATTGACTCCAGTTCCTAAAGTTCAAGCATCAAGCATGACCTATCTATCGCATTAATCAAGTCTGGAGGTGAGGGACAAGCGGGCAAAGGTGTTGATCAGGAAAACATGATGCACACCACTTGCAAATGCAAAGGGAAAAGAAGGCTGATGTTAGCAGTTAACTGCTACTGGGCATAACTACCACGGATCAAAAATTTTATAGATCATAAAAGACTTTGTTTCGATCTCGCACCTTCTCTGTCTCAGGTTTAATGTTCTGGTGGCACTTTGTTTTGTTCTCAGACAAAACTGAGATTACATAAAATAATCACTCTGGCTTTACAAAAGAAGTGAAGCACAAATACCTTGTGAAGAAAGAGTCACATGCAATACAAAAAAAACTTACACACACCGGTCAAAATTGTTTGTTAGTATTAAAAGAACTGGCTAGTAAGCCTGGCTAAACCTGTGCCCTGGGTAAGTTAGGAAAGCTACCTATAGCTGTCCTTTGGGGAGGGGAGAAAGAGTAGCCTCTTCTGAGGCTATTCTGAGGCATGGAGTACTTTCTCCACCGTGATGAGCTGTATTTTAGAATACTACACCTGGGTGGAGGGAGTGTTTGGTCAAGCAGTTACAGTAAGATTATTAATTTCTCATTCTGTGTGTGTGTGTTTGTGTGTGTGTGAGCTTCCTCAGTTTACTGTTGTTCAGCTGACAAACCAGAAGATTTGAAGGGAGAACTGCCTCCTCCTCCTCCTCGTGCACATTTCTACTCTGGATTTCTGCATGCACATTTTTGGACGTTCAGCCCATGCCCTTTCAATCAAGTGAAGAGTAAAGCATGAAAAATTTTCTATATCTGCAATTTTTGCAAACACAGGCAAATTTCCTGCCTCACAGAAAGACAAATGTTGCAGTAATCAAGGGCCTGTTTTAGAAACTAGAACAGTCTGGCTTGTTCTTGCATTTTCTTGGAAACAGCACTTGACCATTTTTGCTCAGTGTCCTTTTTATGAATTCTGATGATTAATGTTCCCTAGCCCTATAAGAACACAGAGTAAACACACTTAAAATAAATAAAAACTTGAAATCTGCAAGGGATTATGTGATGATGAGAGGACCTCATTCATTGTAAGATACATAGCAATACATAAAGACCTTACTGCTGAAAGGCTAAGCCTAGGCTGTTACAAACAAATACCTGTTATAAAGGCCTACAGTCCCTGAAATACTGTAAAAAAACCAAACATATAATTAGTGTAAGCCTTTCACCTGCTCTTAAACAGGTTTTCTTCCCCTTCTTTTAAGTTGTCAGTTAGAAGTGGGTCTACTATCAACCAAAGAAGACATGAAGGAACATAAAATACCGTCTCTTCTCATCTATTTCTTTTATATATGGGCTACAGTTTGGGGTAGGTTTTAGTCATTTTGTTTATGAAAAATGACAAGACAACTTTTACTTTTTTTTTTTTTTTTAAATAGTGAATTAATTAAGTGAAGCACTGTTAAAGTAATAATGGTAAATAATGAAATCTATGTTAATGTAAAGCACACTTGAAGCAAAAGAAAACTGTTTAGAAGATCGCTGCGCAAACGGCCGTGGTCACTGAATATATTTGAGCGCCCAGGCTGTGCTTCACCTTTCTGCTGGTGGTCACCTTCACACAGCTCAGCTGGTGGAGTACATTGTGTGACTGCTTAGCAGCCACTCCTGTACAAAGGCAGCTAGCTTGGTTGTTGCCAGCTAATACTGAAAATGATCTGAAGTAAATTGATTCACTTTGCACTGAAGTGGCTGAGGAAAAGTCATCCAGACTGTTCCAGGAGTCTGGGACAGAGTTATATGGCATCAGTTGTGGTGGTGAAGCCATTTTAAGAAATTCCACAATTGCATCCTGTTTTTTTTTTTTTTTTTTTTTTTGGTGATGGTACAATCATTTGGGACTATGTGAGGTTTATTTGTAACCCAGGTCGTTGCCATATGGCCATATGATGGTTTACATGAATGGCAAACTGCCGCCTGAGGGTGGGGACTCCTTCAGCTGGTTTTGATGTTGAAGGTGGTACTTTTGGAAATCATTTGAAGCTCAGGTGCTAAAGTGGAGGCATGCTTGTTTGAATATATAAATGTTTAGTCTGGTTACCTACTTAAACTGATTGCAAATTCAAAGACTAGAGCCCTGCGTTATAATACTGACTAAATAGAATAAAGTGAAGCAAAGACATCGCTGCTGCTCCACCCTTCCTATCCCAGGCACCTGTGTTGAGGATTACAGAAATATCCTTAAAAGAGCATGTTGCTGAAGCAAGCAGTAGGAGTGTTCTACCTGCTGCAGCGTTTTTGTTGGGGGAAAGGAGAAGCAGAAATATGAAGTAGACTGGATTTAATCTAACTTATTCAGTAACATTTATGTGCTTTAGGTTATGGAGAACAGAAGACAGTAATAGGGCAGTGTTCTAGAGACTGTATCTTGCCTTGCCTTTTTCCACCTGGTGATAATGTACTAATTCACTGGAGTAAAAATGGCAAAAATGTGCACTGCTACAACCAGGAGAAACAAGAAGAAAAGCAAGATGAGGACTACAAAAACAGAACACAGCTTTTTCATCAGTACATTAGTAGTGGAAATGCCTCCTTGAAACTTAGCAACCTGACCCTTACTGATGCGGGCACTTATCATTGCTATGTGGGAACAGATCAAACTAAAACAGAAGAGGACATCATGCTGCATGTAAGAGGTCAGTAAGACATCAAAAGTGCTTGGATTGCACCAACAGAAATTGGATTACACCAACAGATTTTCTCACATTATTTGTCACATGGAACAGAAATTCTGCAACCCAGCAGAGCACCTTTTTGGCCCGTCGGTGTTCCCATGCAATTCATTTTCTCTGATGCAATACTGTTGTAACAGAAGTTGAAAAATCACAGTGCAGAGTTTGTTCTCATAACCTACTGTGTGGTGATTTCTAAAGAGTAATGAGATAGCGTACGTGCGTTTTAAATACATCGTGTGGGTTCTCAGAACGGTACAAACCCCAGCATTGGCAGTAAATAATGCTGTACTGTTTTCTGAAACAAAACAGATTACATTTCTTTCTCAGTTATGTTTATTCTCCTCAATAACATTTCAAAAGTCCAATCACTTCAAATTAAAAAGTATCTTGAAAGTAATAGGACTTCTTTGTATTTACAGTTTCCTCTTATTATGCACTGGAATACCAAAAGACAGACACAGAAAGGATGCTGAAGTGCTACGCCTTTCTTACTTATTCAGTGCCAACTATAACTTGGACACAAAGCAATACATCCATCCAAGAAACAGGGGGGGAGAAAACCGAGGCTGGAGGTCTCTACGCTATTAGAAGTGACCAAAACATTGCAAACACATCTGCTCCCTACCAGTGTCGTATTCTCTTTTGTCGTAAAGAGTGGACTGCTGAATCGAAGATGGAAGGTAGGAACGAACTACAGTCGCTTCCTGCGTCGTTACTGAATTACTGGCTTTTCTCTGAACTTTTCTCCCGTATCAGTTTCATATTTTGAGAGGGGCATAATAGTCGCTCTTGGCACACTCTATTGAGCTGAGCCAAAACGTGTGGAAACCTTAGTGAACCTGTGGGTTATGAAAGGGAGGGGAAGGTTTGACTGCTGCTATAGATATCTATGTTCCTTCCTCAGTCCTCTCCCTATTCTTTGCCCGAGTTTGTTCAGCACCATTTGATTTTTTTTTTTTTATTTTTACTCCTTTTAAAGTGCATTCTTAGGCACTCGGGTTCAGTGTTGGGAAGGAAGAGCAGCAAGCACTGTTTGGATTTGGGCAAACAGCGGCTTATTTTGTTAGTTAAGGAGGAGCAGCGCTGTGAAATTTAAAGTCCCCGTTTTGTCCTACTCATGCAGTCCTAGGCGTTCACTGGAAATTCAAGTCAGTAAATAACTGGTGCTTTTTAACCTTATATATCTCTTAGGAAATATTTCTTAACTGGACCGACAGCAATGCAAGAGCAGTTCCCTTGTCAGATACGCTTGGCTGCCGCTGTTGCCCTGATTTTCCCCTAACATACCCAGAACTCTCTGTTTCCTATCTGCTATACACACTGCAGGACAAGCACGTTCTTTTTAAACTTACATATAATAGCCCACAATTACGGTAGTTTTCAAGTATGGTACCATATTAGATAACAAGTGCACTTTAGGTGTCTCTTATTAATCTGTCCTTCCATACCGCAAGAGAAACTGCTACATTTCATTACATTTTTGTTTGAATTTTTGTGCCTCCATCTAGCGTCTCAACAGAACACTGAGAACATACTGCTTTCCTTTTTTTTTTTTTTTTTTAATATATACTCGCAGCGTAGGGTATATTTTTGTTTTCCCCTAACGGCTTTCAGCCCCACTGCAAGCATGGGTAAAGCATGTCAAAATAACATATTAGATTCCTCTCCAGTGGGCTGCCAGCCACCACAGCCTGCTCTGTGCTTTTCCTTCCTTTGCAGCAAATCCCTGCAGTTACATTGATAGTTGTGCTGTGTTTTTAATTCATCCTATGTTAGTATTTTATACAATCATTAGATGTTAGTGCCCACTACCTGCCCTTTCCCTCCTCTTCTTTTTTTAAAGCCATTATTGGAATGTAAGTGTTCAGCACAAGCAGATAAAGGACTTAAGTCTGCCATATCTAAAAGGTATTTCTAACTAAATATAGTATTTTTAAACTAAATATAATCTTATTACTTTAATAAAGCAAACCGTGTTATAACAGCTTTGTCCTTTCAGCATGCGGGTATCCGATTAGTTGCATTTTCTTTCTTCTCCCTACACTTAGAATTTCATGCTGCTTTAAGCAGTACGCTCAGACTAGGCTCAATCACTCTCAGTAGTGTCTCCCCGAAACAGAAGTAGTCACATGAAAACAAAACCAGTTTTCATAAGTATAGACTAATACCAATCAGATTTTTTTTTATATCATGCAGGCTTGTTTTGGAAAGCCCCTGCACCTCTTAATATCTCTCTTTAAAAAAAATCCAAATTCAGATATTTGTAGAAGCTTACTGTGATGCTTGACTACAACATCAAAATAATGAAATACATTTTTTAGAGTTGTACATGGTAGTACAATCAGTTAAAATTTCAGAACAATTTAAATAACCTTCAAAATATTTTCCCAAATATTGCCAACGTTTTTTCAATTATCTATTTCAGAGCAACTGTCCAGTGTGGAAGGAAATAGCGCTGCAATTCCTTGTGAATGCATCAATAACCCTTCTTCACACACTGAAGGTTTCAGCGTTGTCTGGACAATAAACAGAAATGCAGTCATCTCAGTCCTGGCCTCCTTCAATGGTACATCTCACTCTTACCAGCCACGAGCCCAAATTAACGAAACTGACTTTTCGCTAATGTTAAGTGATCTCACTCCAAAGGACAGCGGAGAATATCTTTGTAATATTTCAGCACCTCACTACACAAAGCTTACTGTGAGAACCGTGCGTGTTGGTAAGTCACTGCTGTTTCCACATCAGAGGACGGGAGCTAATGAGGGGAACGCAGAGAAATAGGGCCAATCAGAAATCTATAAAATATTGAGAAAAATCATCTTGCACCATAGCTATAGGTGGGTAGAAGAGAGATTGTATTAGAGTTGTCCCGGGGAAAAACGTTACCTAAAATGTATTTATTTAAAGACTAGAAGATTGTATTTCTTCAGTCAACAGCTTAGTACAGTCAAAGGTCTGAAAACTGGTGAGTGCCATCAATTCCCACTGGCTGTTCTCAGAACTGAGAGCACAGAGCATCTTACGGAATCAACTTCTAAGTGCTGTGTTAATAGCAAATATATACCTTTAAAGGTAGCAGGGAGCATGCAGGGGAGCCCGAAAAAGCGGTACAAATTTTCTCTAGTTTTTCCTGCTG